TTTATTTTATTATTAATTGTATTATTTAAATATAACAATACATAAAACGTTCAATTGTGTATCAGGGAATATAACCTATTCCATTTTGTAATCAGGCTTATTTGTATTTATTAGCTCCCATATTTGTCCAAATAGTCGCTGCTGGTTAGTTCAATGATTGTGTGGTTGTAGAACTTAGCTCATAGAGTGCTTGAACAGAAACAGTCTCTGATTCTAATTATGTATAAAGAGCTGTTATGATTAAATTTAAATACGTTATTTTACAGTGTGATGTAATATATTACGTGGAATGCCGCCTGGTTATAGAATGCCATTCCCCTATCCCCCACTTCCACACATTATCCAACTAACCTCAACCACAACCATTCACCCACTAATCACCATATTCAAACGACGGTAAACCCACCCACCATCAACTCACCCTCCATCCACTCATCCACTATCCACCACATCCACCAACCAAACCATTACAACTATCCACACACCATCCAAAACCATCAATCTAGTCTTTACCCCCCCCCCCCCACCATCCACCAACCCTCCACAACCATCCATTCAACATCCACCACCTTCAACGTACTGTATACCCCCACTATCCACCCACCATCCACCACCATCAACGTACTGTATACCCCAACATCCTCCCATCCACCCACACTGTTGAACCATCCACCCACCTATTTATTCCCACTATCCAACCACCGCCTTTGTTAAATGACGGATATCAGTATTTAACGATCTAGGAACTCAAATGAATTCTTAATGTAAGGTTTACATTAGCTTTGTTATATCAACAACGTTTTAATTATTTAGTATAATCCTCTTAACGGTTGTCATCTCGTACGTTTAGCTCACCTACAGATTGATTGACTTTTTGTTTTAACTGGATGACTTAATTTGTTTCACTGAAAGACTTACTATCCTAATATATAAAAGCCATTGCGCATCTCTCTCTCTCTCTCTCTCCCTCTCTCTCTCTCTCTCTCTCTCTCTCTCTCTCTCTATATATATATATATATATATATATATATATATATATATATATATATATATATATCCATATATATCTCTGTCTGCAACATTTTTGAGGCTATGTGTTCAGAGTTTCTTCCAGGCATCTCCTCGGGTGGGGGGGGGGGGGGGGGGGGGGAGAACGGTACAAAACAATTGTGACCTACCAATACAACGATTGCTTAATATTTGTATCATTATAATTCTCTGTAATCACACATTTATTTCAGCTCTACTTAAAAACATAAATTGCACCCCGTCCCCTCCTCTCACCCACCACGCCGAGGGGGAAAATCCCTTGAATCATTATTTAATTACACATTTGCATTTTCAAGTTGGTTTTTTTTTTTAATATTTTTTTTTTTTAATATTTAGACGTTTTGTATTTTATCTGTTCATAAGTAAACCATCTTAAATGAATGAAAGTAGGCTACAAGTAAGAAAGAAATATTACTATTGTAAATCTGTATCAGTCTTCACAAGCCGATGATGAAAACTGTAATACTAAAGCGAACACACATCTGACGCTGTAAAATACATGTCTGAGGCAAAAAAAAAAAAAAAAAAAAAAAAAAAAAAAAAATTCAAATTAAGCTTGTTACGTCCCTTGTATTATTTATATTTTGGTTGCGTCCCTTGGGTGTTTACTGTGTCATCCGCGATGTGTAGTTGATGTGTTCATGTTATTCATTTAACTAAAGGTTGAGAAAGGTGTTATCTAAGCTCATTTCTATAAGAATAAAGTAATAAGGTTAATTCAAAGAACTGTGTCTATTTAAATAATGTAACACATACAAATTGATATTTCCTTCTTGTTATTAAAAGTCACAAAGATAATAACGAAAGAAACTTCGCATCATCATGGTTTTGGATTTGGAATTCAGTGATCGTTGTATTTTAGCCTGTAGGCCTACATTATGTGTTGAAATGTTGAGTAAAAATAAAAACGTCTAGTTGCAAAAAAAAAAACAAAAAAACCAACAATTTTCCTAATGTTTACTGCATCACTGTGTTACATTTTGTGACCTTGGGCATATGCGCGCTGAAATCTTTACAAGGGAAACCACTCAGTTAAACACGGATCGGAATTTTTTTTTGGATTGTCGTTTATTTGGGGCCTCATGCAAACTTTCTGAAAAATATAATTAGGTATTGCGAAATTAACACGATTACGTAATATTACATTCTATTTTTTATACTGTGTTACAAATAAGTAACAATATAGTAGACTATTGTATAAAAATAGCTTAACATATTAGCAATTGAAAAGCATAATATAATCAAAACAACCAGTGGCGTAGCGATGTTGGGTGTCACCCGGTGCGGCACTTAATGGTGTCACCCCCCCAGATGCGGAGCGACCCTTCCCGGGGACAAACCTTCAAGTTTTCGATTTGCACCCCTCACCCCCTCAAACTTTAGATTTGCCCCCCCCCCTCAAGTTTTTCTCTATATATTTTGCTATTTTTTGCCTTGGTGTCACCCCCCCCCCCCCTAAATGGTGTCACCCGGTGCGGTCCGCACCCCCAGCCCCCCCCCCCCCCCCCTCGCTACGCCCCTGAAAACAAGACTCGCTATTGAAGATGATGCACTTTTCGCCATATTGATTGCTAATGGAGTTTCGGGGTAATTTTCCCGATAATAATTGATTGGTTTCATTGGAATTGTGCTGCTCAGTCTTTGAGTTCCGTGTTTCAGGTTATTACTTCAGCGGCTGGTATTCAAAATTTACATCGGCTTTACATCACTGCACGTATAAACTCACACACACACACACACACACACACACACACACACACTTAACAATACGCTTTTTAAGCTCACAAACACACCCACATACCCACACATACATTCATACACATACGCGCACACGCGCACACGCGCATAAGGACACATAACCATACACGCTTAAACACACAAACATACCCACAGCCACATACCTACACATACACACATACACATACGCACACACACGCATACACATGCACACTCACATAACAATACACTTAAGCACACAGACACAACCACACAAACACACTAACATTCACATACTAACTGGGACTATCCATTGACTGATTACACGGTCCAATATTCACATACATTTCTCACGTAGACGGTGTTTTTATCGACAAATTAAACACTAGCTCCACCCCACCTCCCCCCTCCACCAACCTAATGTTATTCGACCTCTCCCGTCCCAAGCACAGAGATTAAGATACGGATGGACGTAACATGAAATAACCCTTGATGGCCGAGGTAGTGTGTACACTGCTTGACCTATACTGGTCACTAGCGAGATAGCCATAGCCCAGTCTACACTGCCTGTCATAACTTTATCGTGAGGACAGTTCAATGTTGACTGTCAATGGACTTTGTTTACCTGTATTCTAACCGGATAAAATTACAAAACACGATTTGAATTCGAATAGCTTGCCATCAATATTCAAGTAAGATTTTAACAGAATGTTTATATTTTTGTTTCGAATTGTCTAATCCATTCGTTTTAAAAATTATTTAAACGGACACGTTTTGTTTACCTCATTTTTTTTTTACTTTTAAAAAAAAAATGTTATCTGATAGTGATTAAGGTGTCTATTCCGAGTCATGTGTAAAAATTAACAACCGTCGGTGAATAAGCGAACAATGCCTATTCGCAGTCGACTATAGAAAGACCCAGGATGTCTTATTCTTAGTCGCCCGGGAATAAGCTGAAAATGGCTATTCGTAGCCTACTTTGAACATGCCAGATATGCCTATTCGCAGTCGAATATTGAAAGCTCAATTATACTTTTTCACAGTCGACTAGGAGTAAGCTGTAGTAAGCGGCCATTCCCAGCTGACTATGAATAGGCCAGAAATGCCTATTCGCAAATGCCTGTAGAAAGGCGAAACATATCTATTCACATTTGAGTGAGAGACGACTGTGAATAGCGCAGATGTACCTATTCCCAGCTGACTATGAATAGGGCTGGCCTTTATGTTTGCATCCTATCTACAGTGTGTGTGACATGTTTAATTAAAGGACTGAGCGATGATTATACATCTCTCTGTTCTGTTCCTCTGTATCTTGCACAATATCTGACCAGAGACGACACCACGTCTGTGTCAGATAAATCATGCGCAATTAATTGTTATTATCGCACAATGTAAATCTTAATCAGCATAACGGTTTACCAACACGTACTAGACTCGTAGAACTTGACCCGTACAGATTTGTATGGCTAGAAACTAATTGGCTACATACAGGTGTAGAAAGTACATAGCTACATACAGGTGTTGAAAGTACATAGCTACATACAGGTGTAGAAAGTACATATCTACATAAAGGTGTTGAAAGTACAACGCTAAAGTATCGACCATTCGTGTGAAATCTGTAATTTTATTATTCTGGATCGTACTGTACGCTGATTCAGTAAGAGTAATTAATTACAAAGTTTTACGTAAAACATATATTAAAATACAATTTTATTTTATATAATGTTTTAGTATAAGTTATAAAATCAGATGTTTTAATTAACATATTTAGAGCCTAATAATACTACTTTAAAAAATAACATAATTATTTTAAGTTATTTTTGAAATAGTAATTTAACCATGTACTTTTAGCCTTTAGAAACTAATTAATTATTATTAGTCATACTTAAAGTCATTACATTAAAAACTGTTGGATAAGCCGTATAGTAAAAACATGTTGACATTTTAGTCAAATTATTTACATTTATATCTACTTAAATGATTACCATCTAAAGACTACTAAGCAGTTTTAGCTTATTTAGTGAATATAGCAATTAGCACCGACTTTTAAAGATTAACAAGCTGATGAAGAAACTCGAACAACTAATATACCTATGTAAACATTGGATCATTTGATAGATTTACACTATAAGACTTGTTTATATGATCATAGAGTCAAGGTCTATAAAAAAACGAACAGATAATACATCCTTGCATTTGTTTTGCAGTATTTCAGTAGAGAAGAAAAAAATTGATTGGTCAAGTAGTTAGCACGTCTGACATTGTGCTAGACGTCATCTACAGAAGATGACGAACGAAACCAACGACTCCCACCATCTGACCACGTCTATGAGTTTTTATCTAACCAAATCTGGCTCGTACATTGCTGACGTCAACACAAGCAACTCAGACCCTAACAAAACAACACAAACATACGGTTCATACAAAAGGGAGAATGTAAAAAACTCAAATCCGGATCTATCACATAACGAAACAAAACTCAATACAGTAGACTCCAGGAATACAAGCGGATTCACAAAGACTCATAATGGAGTTTACGTAAATACGAAAAAAAGTTCCAAAAAAATTTCAAACTATGTTTCAAGAAACGGTGAGAGTATAAAGTCTTTAAGCACAGAGGATGAAGAAAAGAAGAAAGACAAACACCGAAAGTTGAAGTTTTCTGAGATGCCTAGACGTAGCAAGTACGCCTTGTTGATTATAGCGATGGCGAATTTTGGCGCCGGTTGCGGATTTTCTCTACCGGCGCCCTTCTTCCCAAGAGAGGTAAGAAAAAGTTTCAATGTAAATTAAGAGTTATCTAACTTGTCAATCTTCCTCTTCTTAATCCTTAATGGCGTTGTTTGGGCACCACAGCTGATGTTCTCATAACGTTCGGCCTTCTGCCTCGGTCTTATCTGAGTAGTTCTGGAACGGGCAGCCCAATCCAATCTATGATGTCATCGATCCAAAGTCGTTTTGGTCTTTCCCTTCTTCTCCTTCCTGGCACATTGGGGTTATTGTTTTGGATCGGCTGTTGGTTTAAGAACATGTCGAATCACCTAGAGGTTAAGGTGTTATCCGCGGTAACTATACTTTAGCCTTGCATGGGTATTTTTATTTCAGAGATGGGTGGAACAATGGTTAGAATATATTTTTTTCTATGAAAATATTTTTTCTATTTCTCCGGATTAGTGGGGAGGGGGTGGGGAGGGAGTGGGGCGGTGGGCATGTTCTGCGGGCAAGTGAAAGAAGAAATAGCAGTCCCCCCCCCCCCCCCCCCATGAAGAGATGTCTGAAATAAACGATCATGATAATTATATCTAAACAATTTAGTGGTTTGATGCAGATTTTAAAATTTTCAGGTACCTATATTCAAAATAGACATCGTGTTTGCCATTTACATTTGACTTGGTTTCTTTTAATGTTTTACGAGCCCCTACAACTTAATGCCTAACATTTGTAATACATTTAATCTTAACACTTTGTTTAATAGAATCCGTTTAATTTATATAGGACTGCTTGGTAGAATAATATATTGCATATATAATATAAAGATTTTATATTGCAAGTTTGTAAAATACCATGGTCCCAAATAGTTACCTCAGTCCACGTAGTTCAGTAGTATCTGATCTGGTAATAAAGATTTTGAATGTTTTCTTAATATGTCATTCAGTATTGTAAGCTGTGGTGTGTTTGTGTCTTTATGTGTGTATTTGTGTGTAAGGGGGGGGGGGGGGGGGGAGTTCAATATATATAATTATATATATTGATACAAAGATTGATAGAGAGAGTTAGGGAGAGACGGAAATATTAAATTACGACTTTTAAGATTCCACAATCGTAGTTTTGTGTAATTCAAAGCCCAAAAACTTTAAAATAATAGAGTGACTCGAGCACACAGTTGTAAATAAATTTAACTCAACGTAAGACGCCAATTTAGGTATCCATTGGTTGGAAGCTCGCCCCTCCCCCCCCCCCCCTCAAACGCCCCCTCATATGGCGACTCTACTAACATCATTGTCTTTACTGATATCTTAAAAAAAAATTTCTTCCAGGCCCAGTTGAAACAAGCCTCACCGACAGCCATAGGTCTAGTCTTCAGCAGCTACCAACTGGTCAACTTCATAGCCTGTCCCATATTTGGTAACTTTGTAAGAACCTGTTGAGCATTGACATAGACAGCTCTCGACTTACGAACGTTCGATCCACGAGCGTTCGTTAAGTAAAGATTTAAATTGATTTTTTTCCACGTTATAAATTAAAATGTATACTATTTAACTAAAAATAAACAAACATGCTAAATCGAGAACTGTTTAATTTTATTTGCAATCTCTAGCTCTTGAAAGTGACTCACATAATTGTTTAATAAACCCCTATTATAAAACAAATACTTTATTATTTTGTGTTATGTTATAATGTGCATTACTATTGTATTTAGAACATATTTAACAAAGGTCAATATAGTTTTACAAGATACACATACATTTAAAGTAGAACACAATATCCCTTTCCAATTCTTAGGCAAAGGATTTATTTTGACTTTTGTTTTGCTACTGAATTAATAGAAGATTCTTTAAAAAATGAAAATTCAGCTTTGGAAATGGAAAAGTACTAAAGTAGCATTAAATTATAGCGTGAAACAATAGTCTGCATTAAAAATATTTACTTTATTTACTGTAAAGATAATGATATTATAATTATTTCATTGTAAACATAAACCATAGTTTATTCTTCATAGCTCACCCGCATCGGTGCCAAGTTTCTCTACGTGTCCGGAATACTTGTATCAGGAACATGTGCCATACTGTTTGGGTAAGATAATATTTCTAGGAACATTTGTATCAGCAACATGTGACATACTTTTTAGTAGATTAATACTTCTAGGAACGGTTGTATCAGCAACATGTGCCATACTGTCTGGGTAAATTAATAATTCTAGGAACATTTGTATTAGGTATATGAGCCATACCGTTTGGGTAAGTTGATATGTCTAGGAACTTTTGTATCTGCAACATGTGTATGGTCATCCCGATTACCCCAAACGCTGTTTAATTTCTTATTTTCTTTATTACCTGTATCTAGTCAGTAAACGCACTTTATTACCTGTATCTAGTCAGTAAACGCCCTTTATTACCTGTATCTAGTCAGTAAACGCCCTTTATTACCTGTATCTAGTCAGTAAACGCACTTTATTACCTGTATCTAGTCAGTAAACGCCCTTTATTACCTGTATCTAATCAGCAAACTCCATATTCAAAACTAACGAACTTTTATGCAGATGTAGTGGAGTTTATCTATTTCTCTGACATAAGCATATGACATGATAGTGTGGCCATGTATATTTCAAGCCTTCATTACCGACCTAAGATATATCCTCATCCGATCTGCGTGCAGTCTTTTAAAATTCCAATTCACATCTTTAGAGTTTTAAAAGATAGCAAAACATATTTTTTAAACATAAATCTGTATGCATCCGAAAACAAGAAACAGGATAATATTTATACAATTATTTTTGTGTATCTTTGAAATATAAATCAGGAATCATTTCAAACTCTAAAGCACTACAATAAAATTCTGCTATCCATTTGATTGATGAAAAAAACACACTTTGATCAAACAGGTTCCTTGACCAGTGTCCACCAGGAGACACGTTTGTCGCCATGTCTTTCATCGTGCGGTCTGTCGAAGCCCTGGGCGTGTCGGCCTTCTCCACCGCAAGCTTCGCCATCGTCTCCAACGAGTTTCCCAACCACATCAGCTCCGTGTTCGTAAGTTGAAGCATTGTGTTTTCAATGAAATTGTGTAACCCTGCTTTTTTTGTTTCATACGTGTTATGGTTATCTGGTGTTATGGTGTGATGATTTGTGGTTTTATGGTTTTATGGTTTTATGATTTTATGGTTTTATTTTTTTTATAGTTTCATGGTTTCATTGTTTTATGGTTTTATGGTTTTTTTATGGTTTTATGGGTTTATGGGTTTATGGGTTGTATGGTTTTATAGTTGTGTGGTTTAATGGTTTGATGTTTCTTATGATTTAATATTTTAAATTATTTTCTTGGTTTAAGGTTTTATGGTTTTATGGATGAATGGGTTTTTAATGGTTTTATTGATTTGTGGGTTTATTAAATCTTTTGTGTTTTTTGTTCTAAAGTCGGGCCTGTTTGTTTTATAAAATGTGTTTTTGGTTTTTATATGTTTGGATCTTTTGGATTATTATTAATGTGCTTCGTTCTTCGACATCGACTAAAATATTGACTAGATCGCTGTAAGGGTGTTTATTAGATCAGGGTTGATAATTCCCGTGACAAATTTGTGTTATAAGTTGGGGGTGGAGTTTTTTCTAAATTAAAAAAGGCATTTTATTCTAATTTTCATACAGTTGTCATAAATTTTTGGTTTTGGGGTGGATACCATACATTTAGGCATTGATAAACAAGCCATTTATTTGAGTATTAGAGCCATAAATATGAGCATTGATGCCTAGATCGTATATTTGTTTTTTTTTTTATTGATCTCGAGTATTTGGGTATTGTTGAACGGGTATTAACGGAAGTAGACAAAGAGGTTGAGTATAAACGAAGCCGAACTTGTATTTATTCTCTGAAAGTTTTGTTTTAAAATGATTCTATTTATAACTCTTTCAGGCCACTCTAGAGACATGTATAGGTATAGGGCTAATGACGGGTCCAACAATAGGGGGCGCCTTGTATGAGGTGAGTACTTCTCGTTATGATTTTGTTGTTAGGTATTACTACTTGACGACAGTAATGGCGTTGATAAGTCCTTTATGTTGATCGATATCATGATTTATTATTATGGCATGTTTCGGCCAACCCACTGTTATCTATATTATTAGGTGTCAGTTTAATGCCTAACCGACGATATTGTTGGTTTGCGAAACTTCGATCAGTCCACCCCAATTTACCGTTTGTTTATAGTTTGTTGGCTCTTTTGACTGTTTTTTTCTGGTGTTGATTTGTTCACACTATTAAAGCTAGTTTTGTACTAGTCATTTATACATGTTAATTATAAATTGGAAACGTCTTGCCGTGTACAGTGTTTCATTCTGACATTTGTCTTGGGTTGGTGGGGTAGGGCGGCATTGAAACTTTCTGGGATGGGGCGGACTTCGAATTCCATTGGGGGGTGGGGGGGGGGGGAATTAGTTTATGTATATATATTTACTGTATAAATTTATATATTTATTGTATTTATGTCGGGGAGGGTGATAGTTCACCCCCACCCCCTACACAGTGGAGTTGCCTGAAAGAAACTCTGACCATGTTGTCTATTTCAGGTTGGTGGGTTTGGCCTTCCCTTCTGGGCTATAGGAGCTGTCATCTGTATCAGCGGGTTGATGGTCTTCACATGCCTGCCACCCCCAGAAGGTGAGTCACATTTTGTATCAGCGGGTTGATGGTCTTCACCTGTCTCCCACCCCCAGAAGGTGAGTCACATTTTGTATCAGCGGGTTGATGGTCTTTACCTGCCTGCCACCCCCAGAAGGTGAGTCACATTTTGTATCAGCGGGTTGATGGTCTTCACCTGCCTGCCACCCCCAGAAGGTGAGTCACATTTTGTATCAGCGGGTTGATGGTCTTTACCTGCCTGCCACCCCCAGAAGGTGAGTCACTATTTTGTATAAGCGGGTTGATGGTCTTCACCTGCCTGCCACCCCCAGAAGGTGAGTCACATTTTGTATCAGCGGGTTGATGGTCTTCACCTGCCTGCCACCCCCAGAAGGTGAGTCACATTTTGTATCAGCGGGTTGATGGTCTTTACCTGCCTGCCACCCCCAGAAGGTGAGTCACATTTTGTATAAGCGGGTTGATGGTCTTTACCTGCCTGCCACCCCCAGAAGGTGAGTCACTATTTTGTATCAGCGGGTTGATGGTCTTCACTTACCTCCCACCCCCAGAAGGTGAGTCACATGATGGTCTTCACCTGCCTGCCACCCCCAGAAGGTGAGTCACATGATGGTCTTCACCTGCCTGCCACCCCCAGAAGGTGAGTCACATGACGGTCTTAACTTGTCTGCCACCCCCAGAAGGTGAGTCACATTTTGTATCAGCGTATTGATGGTCTTCAAATGCCTGCCACCCCCAGAAGGTGAGTCACTTGATGGTCTTCACCTGTCTGCCACCCCCAGAAGGTGAGTCACATTTTGTGTCAGCGGGTTGATGGTCTTCACTTGCCTGCCACCCCCAGAAGGTGAGTCACATTTTGTGTTGTTTCCCCAACGACGAAAAACATTTTTTTAGATTCATAATTATCTTTAACGGTTTGTGCCCAAGACAAATAAAGTGAATTTTATCTGTTTCAATGACTTCGACAAACAAAGGGATAATGTGGTCAGTACTATGCCCACCCGAATTTGTTTACCTAACGTGAGTTAGAAACCCATCAGAGCTGGGTAGACACAGGGACGTTATGCTGACTTGAACCCAGATTCGAAATCGAGTCTTTCCGGTTAGCAGTCTAGCGCTCTACCGCTTGGCCACGTCATCCATTTTTCTAGATTATCTCTTCTTGGAGACCATAGAAAACACCAAGCTGTAAGCGCGCTCCCTACCACCCCCACCCCTACATGGTCTGGTGAGCTGTGGTTAACGCTAAATATTTACATTCGTGCAGCCGGATTTAGTGACGGCTATTAGGGGCAGATAATTTAGTTTAAAACGATTTTAAACTTAGGGGAGGTAACTAAAAACAATTAAATATCGGCGTGCGCGGGTCGGCTCGTATTTTAATAATCTGTTAATTAGAGGTAATAGTCTCGTGAAGACGAGGCTCGATAGCTGGCGATAGCAGCCCATCTATAAAAGACAACCCCAAAATTAAATGCTTTCCCCTAGTTTGTTCTTGGATGGACCCATAGAATCAAATCAAGATAGAAAAACATTCTGAAATACGAGACAACATGTCACGTGTCGCACAAAATGTTGACAAGTAATATAATACTTATTTGTATTGGAGGAAATTCTCTTCAAAGATTACAGTTAAGAACGAAGAGGAGTAAGAAAGAAGAAGCAACACACAGTTAAATAAGTATTGAAATATTATCCAAGAAATACCGAACAAAGAAATGCATACAGTTAAAACATTAGAAAAATATGTAGGCAACAAAGTTACATAAGTATTGAAATATTTTCTAACAAAGACCGAACAAAAATGCATACAGTTAAAACTTTAGAGAAATATGTTATACATACACATGGACGTATACTAGGTATTGTATTAGTACACTGGGTAAGTTAAGCATATCCTGTTTATCACGTCAGGATATTAATGAGCACAACAACCAGTCCTAATTAATTAATTCTCTAACTCACATATTTTTATGACGTAATCAAGACGCCCCCCCCCCTCGATCTACTCTGATGTTTAAAAGTAATTCAATGTAAAATATTAGGTTATTTCTATATTTTAAACTTCAAACTTGCATTTAACCTACAACTATACTTTTTAGATGTATAAAAACTCTGCGTGCTTACGATATAACATTCTATCTTTCCGCAGACAACACATTGAAAAGGAAGGGATCCATTTTCTGCCTACTGAAAAGCTTGCTAGTCTGGGTGACCATCTTATCCCTTCTGGCTGGGGCTATTGGGATATCGTTCATGGACCCAACCTTATCAGATCATCTAGACCAGGTACCAAATTCTGTAGCTTAAGCAATGTTAAAGTTATGTGGTGTCACACATGTTTTAGAAGCATTGAATGCCCTAGTGGCTGGGTGACCATACTATCCCTTCTGGCTGGGGCTATTGGGATATCGTTCATGGACCCAACCTTATCAGATCATCTGGACCAGGTACCTGTTCTATTGATAGGGCAATGTGTTAGTTATGAGGTGTCACATATGCTTTAGAAGCATTGAGTGACCATCCTATCCCTTCTGGCTGGTGCTATTGGGATATCGTTCATGGACCCAACTCTATCAGACCATCTAGACCATGTAACATCTTCTGTATCTAAAGTAATGTTAAAGTTATGAGGTGTCACAAATATTTTAGAAGCATTGAATGTCCTAGCGGTTTAGTGAACATACTTTCACATTTTAAATGAGCTATTGGGATATCGTTCATGGACCCAACCTTATCAGATTAACTAGACCAGGTACCGTCTTGGATATATAAAGCAATGTTTATTTATGTGGTGTCAAAATTAATTAAAGAAGCGTTGTGTGTCCCAGCGGCTGGGTTAGGTCAGCAGGTCAGATCTAGACTTGATAAAAATAAAGTAAATAATCCTCTTTAGACCTAGTGATACATTGGGAAGAAGTAGAGTTTATGTTTCTTGACCTCGTATATGAAGGGAAGGTGTGGTAAGCACTGTGCCCAGCCACCTTTACTTTCCCTACATCAGAGCTGGGCGGACTCAGTGACGCTCTACTTACTTGTACCCGGATTTGAACTCGAGACTTTCAAGGTAGCAGCTTAGAGCTCTACCGCATAGGCCACGCAGTTCAATAAACTTAATAATGCCCTAAGCTATTTTTGTACCATTTTATAATATAATTGCCAAATATTTGCATACTAAAAAAATAAGTTTACCGACAAAAAAGTGTTGGTAACTGTAGTGGTAAGATAACTCGGCCCCCACAATGGTTTCAGGAAATTAATAATTTATGTTAAAAAGTGTGTGACAAAATGGCCACTAAAGCTTATTTAAATAATTATTTTTGTTCCCCTCAAGAAAGCGTAAACCCTAAGCTATCAAATTTTAACTAAAACATACATTTGGAACGAGTTAAAATTAACTATTTAAAACTACTAACGAGAGATTTTTATTCCTGAGGAATCAAACAATTTTTTTTTCTGTCATTGACGTTGATACAAAATGTCTAAACTGAAAGTTGTAGTACTTAAACAATATGTGTCTCTACCGATTATTATACTTTTTAAAAAACTTTTACTTCTTTTAAAACACGATAGTAAAAGTAAACAACGGTGTCAAAGCAATAGTTAAACCGGATTAAGTAATTGTCAATGTGCGCAGGAGACCTATATAAAACTGTAGTATACACACGCATAGTTAGACGATTAAAATACTTTTCGAAAACATATTAAAAAAAAAATAAAGTGATTGTTTTCTTTTAAACAAAAATAATTTATTATATTTTTCTAAAATCTTATATTAAATGTATTTTTAAAAATTTATACTTATTTGCATAATTTCCACCTAGTTTGGAATCTCAACTTTAGTTGTTGGTCTTTTCTTTGTTATCGCCCCTGGACTGCACGCGCTTATGGCCCCTGTTTGGGGATATTTCAGTGACACTAAGGTAACTACACAAACTTTCATTTAACTAGGTATACTGTACGAATAAATCAAATTATTCATTGATTGGAAAACATTTCGGGTATTTGGTTGAAATATTTGGTCACTTCCAAAAACTGTTTTCACAGTAACATTTATCATAACTTTAAACTAAGCCCCTTACAGTCATCAAGACATAGTAAAGTTCCCTTTCAAACTTGACGGCATACGGGGCAAGTGAAGTAGAGTTCACTTGTTTCTGTGACCTCGGCATATGAAGGTATAAAGTGGTCATCACTATGCCCAGCCGCCTTTACTTACCCTAACATGAATTAGAGATCCACCAGAGCTGGGTGGACTTAGAGACGGTCTACTGACTTTAACCCGGATTCGAACTCGAGACTTACGGGTTAGCAGTCCAACCAGAGGCGTAGCGACTATTCCCGGCGCCCGGGGACAAACTTTCAATTTTGGCGCCCCCCTCGGGAGCAAATTTTTTTCAATTTGCACCCCCCCCCCCCTTCAAACTTTCGATTTGCACCCCCACCCTCAAACTGCAAAAATGCAGTTAAAATTACATTTTAATTTGGTTTTTCAACCCATTTTGGCGCACCCTAAGGTCGGCGCCCGAGGACATATGTGCCCCCTTGCCCCCCCCCCCATCGCTATGCCTCTGAGTGCAACGCTCTACCGCTAGGCCATTTATCTGGACACCCAATTTATATTTAAACCAGGACATTCAGTCACCGCTACTGATCATCGGGAATGTTGTTGGGGCCATCGGTTACCTGTTCATTGGTCCCACCCCGCTGTTACCTTTCTTACCCAGGTATGTGTATTGATTTCTTTACCTACTTCGGTGATTCAAATTTAGGTTGTTTAGCATATTGAATCCAATAGAGCGATCAGTTACAACGTAAAGAAAAAAAAATCGTCATTCAAGTATGTTTAGAGTGAAATGAATTCTAACTCAGAAAAGAATCTAGGACAAAAGTTATTTTTTGTATGTGTAGTATATGTTTTCTTTACACTAAAATACCTATCTTCTGACCTGCACAATTGTTGCAAAATGTATTTCGGGGATGAGAGAAATAGGTTTGTAAAAGCATGACTTCCACTGGATTCAATAAATTACTAATTAGTATTGAGAAATAATAATTAATTAAATTCAATTGAAAAGCGCGCTTTTTAGTTAAAATTATAAATTAAACGATCGTAAGAAATCTCATTAACACTAACTCGGATGTGTTTCCAATTATGTGTACAGAATTGGAATAAGAGAGTAGTTTCCCCTGTTATATACTCGGCGTGGCTTAATCACCTCTGGACTAAAATTTATTATTTCTTTAATTAATAAGAACATTGTAGATCAACACCAAGAAATAATGAATTATTATTTATTTTATTTTTAAAATGATATTTTCCAAAAATATATAAATAAATTACTTAAAATGTTTTAGATTTTGGTTCACAACTTTCACGGTTAAGGTTGGATTACTTTTATTTTAGTTTTTATTTTTAAATTAATTAAACCAAAACATAAAACTAACACTTTTGGCTCTTGTTTTCGCCTACAGCGAACTGTGGACGGTCACGGTTGGGCTAGTTTTATTTGGTTTCACGGTTGGCTGCTCTATCGTCCCTACCATGAAGCTTTTTGTCATCGGCGCCAGGTAATGTGGAATCTAATAATCCTTATTAATCTTTTTAATAGCTACTGAAAGGACTGGACTCTAGTAATTAGGACATTATTGAGTCCACAAAACTTTGATAAGTTTGGGGAATAAAATAGTGCTGGGCTTGGGAATATCCACACATTATCTTCATACAACAAAGAGACTGGAAAACAGAGTTTCTTCCAGGCATCTCTTCGGGTGGGGGGGGGGGGGGGGGGGGGAATTCTACCCCTCCCCCCCTAAACGAAATGGAATTTATATAGAAAATATATAAGTGTGACAGTGTCCGTCCGTCGTCCCCCCGTCCCCCCCCCCCCGGAAATTGTTGTGCGCCCCTCCCAAAAATATAAAGTGCACCCCCTGGAGAAAAAAGTCTAGGAGAAATACTGCTGGAAAATTGGACTCATTCATTCGACATAAACACTGAAAATTAAAAGGGAAATACTAACAATTGTATCTTAAACTTGAGATAAATACTGATGTAAAATGTCGTTATGTCTCGCTTTAAAGCTGTTGTCTTGGTTATGATGACTGCCAGAAAAAAAATTGCATCTTTTCATTATATTAATTTTGATAATTAAAACCGTAAATTAAAAGGTAAATTAATGTAATTGATAATAAAATCATCTGTGCAATAGTATAGTTTACAATTGTAGGGGCACCCTACTGTCGTAGCCAGTAATTTGTTTAAAAAAATGTAATTACTTAATTAAAGGTGTTGATTTATTTTACTTATTGTATTATGTACAAATTCAGGATGTATTTTCATAATGTTCTGTTTCTCACTAGGGAACTTGGACTACCTGACAGTCTAAACACGTATGGTCTTGTATCAGGACTTTTCAACTCAATGTTTTGTTTGGGGTAGGTTTTGTATAAGGTAGAGTTAGATAAAGGTGGATTTTGGTTGGAGTGGATGTTGGTGAAGATGGGTTTTTGGTTAGGGTGGTTTTTGGTTAGGTTGGGTTGGGTTTGGTTAGGGTGGGTTTTGGTTAGGATGGGTTTTGGTTAGGGTTGGTTTGGTTAGGGTTGGATTTACTTTATGTGGGTTTTAGTTTGTTTGGTTTTTTATATGGTGGGTTTTGGTTAGGGTGGGTTTTAGTTAGAGTAGGTTTTACTTTGTGTGGGTTTTAGTTTGGGTGGGTTTTTGTTTGGGTGGGTTTCGGTTAGGGTGGGTTTTAGCTAGGTTGTATTTCACTTAGTATTGAGTTAGTGTAAGTTTGGCTTAAACCCTAACCCAATCACATCCTGAGGTGTGATTAAATGGTGTATAATTGTGTAGATTCTAATCAGGTTTATACTACTGTAGATCAGGTAGCTGATTTTTTAAGTTCAAAGACTTGAATTCTTGAGAGTGAAGGTTACGATATATCAGAGAAATCAATATTTAAACAAGTGCATTCAAAGAGTCTTGAAGAAAGCAATTAAAATACCTCCTATAAGCCCTCGGGGGTAATTAGGTTTACCTATGTCCGGTAATAGACTCTCCCAAAATGGGTGTGTTAGGTTGTTGATAGTATTGTAATCTCATGTCAAGGTTTATAGTTAGAATTTATGTTTAGGCTTATATTCGGACTAGGGTTGGGTTTAGAGTTAAATATATGGTTATCATTGACATAAGCAAGACATATGCGTATTTAGTAAACTACCTAACATACATTTAAGAAGATTCTATAACCACACTGGTATCAGAAATCCATCACACGGGGACGATGTTTCAATAAGCTACTGTAGGTGTATATTTCTTTCCCACAGAGCTTTCATTGGACCAACAATAGGAGGCGCCTTAGTTGAACAGATTGGGTTCTACTACGGTTCGACGCTCATCTCAGGGTTTTATCTGTTCGTGGTAAGTGGAAACTTGAGTATATGGGTTGTAGCAAGTCACTGTAGGGGTCGGGTAGATGACGCTCATCTCAGGGTTTTATCTGTTCGTGGTAAGTCGCATCTCGAATATATGTGTTGTTACAAGTCTCAGTAGGGGTTGGTAAAGCTCTTGGTTGCTAAACCGAAAAGTCCCGAGTTCGATCCCTCGGGCAGAGGGCGCTCATCTCAGAGTTTTACCTGTTTGTGGTAAGTCGCATCTCGAATATATGTGTTGTTTTTAGTCTCAGTAATAGGGGCGGCGTGGTCGAGTTGGTAGCTAAACCGAAAACTCCCGTGTTCGAACCCTCGGGGCAGATGAGGCTTGGGACAGCAATTCTTCTAGGAGAGACAACTCCAAAATCAAACAACTGCTTCCTTGTAGTTTGTTATTGGTTGGACAAAGGTTATGGAAGCAAACCATAAAAGAAAGCAGGCTGAAATCTAAGTCAACGTCATTAATGGCGCATAACCAGAAGACACGTATCCTTAATTGTGTTGGAGGAAATCCCTTCCAACACTAAAATTAAGATTTACGGTATGATTGAAATCGTAGTTGCATGTGTTGTTTTGAGTCAAAATTCTATGTGCTTGTATACATCACACTTCTGTTTGCTTATAGATTGTAAGTAATTTTGAGTAACATTTATTCTGTTTTATATCGCTTCAAAAAAAAATATTATACGACAAAAATGTTTAATTCCATTTATTATTATTGTAGTTTACCAACCTTTTCTTTTTTCAATCCCATTGTAAGGGAGATAACTTCTTAATAATTCGCACAATTCAAATCAAAATTAACCGACAAAATTATTTGGATTTAATTTATTATTATTAATTTATTTTGAAAAACAGTTTCTTTTGCAATCCTTTTTTTAGGGAGATGACTTCTTAATAATTTTTTAACAGTCTAATCAACATGCTACGTGTTATTATTTAAATTAAAAAAAAGATGTTGTTTCATTGTGAATTCACAAATAGGGCCAATTGTTATAAATACATACCAAATTACAACACAAATTTCTTCTATCTTGTAGATTATTATCACAATGGTTATTTTTCATTCTGAATTAACAAAGAATGTTATTAAAATTCAAAAGCAAAATAAGAAAAATAACTAAATCACAAAAAAGGTTTCTTCTATTAAAATCTAAACATAGATTTGTTTGTTTATTGTAGATGATTATCACGGCGATATTCTTCGGACTACGGCGACTACGTAAACAACGACTAGAAAACCGAGAGACAGATCTAACAGGACACGTAGAATCAAGTCTACACAGGACCCTAGGACAACAGGACAACAGCGTGAGTCTTACTGACCGCCAAGCAGACGAGAGAGGCCACCAGGCAGACGAGAGACGTCCTCTACTCTCCAACTCAACGCACATCAAAAGTTTCGAGACTTCTTTCTCATCGACGTCCTACTCACGTTAATCTTAAAATGTTGTTTAATTTTTGTATCATCTATGTTGGAAATTGTTGCTGGACTGAATAAACTCAATAAAAACGCATCTATGATTTTGTTACTTAAAATACATGACGGGGATTGGATTACAGCAATGGTAAATCAACATTTGTTAAGCAGTAATGAAAATATATTTCGTTAGATACAGTTATGAAGTTGCGGTTGCCTATCTATTATTTTATATACCTCTAATGATAGAGATCGCGCTGATAGTGACAGTCAAAACGTATTTGTATGTTTAAGTAAAAAGATTCACTACCCAACGTTTTGAAAACTCAAACATTTTGACGCCTATCCAAAACCCACCAGACTATATAAATAAATACATAAATGATTACTCGACAGCTTCTAATTTTGTTTTTGCAGTGCAAGCATTTTGTACATTTCTGATGCTCATTTTCATGTTTTATCTGATCTTCTTCGGTGTCCAAATATATCCAGCAGAGTCCGCATCTTATGTTTTCTTGTTCTGTACTTTCTTTGTTCTCTACGTTTTGGATTAGTTCAGCGTTGATGCTTGGATTGATTGCTGTTTGTTTTTTTCAGTGGTTTTTTTTTGGTGTCTTGATTGGTCTTTCAATTATCAGTGGGTTGTCGTCCTTTCTTTTGTTCGTTGTTATTTCGTCTGAGATATTTTGTCTGAGTTCGTTTGTCAATGATATATAATTGTCCTGGTACATTTTGTCCGTGAGATCATTTGTACTTGAGATCATTTATCCTGTCACCAATCAAACATTCTTCCATTTCAAACATATATATCTACAGCAGTGCTCCCACAGTTTTGTTTTTTAATTTATTTGTTTTTAACATTTAAATAATAATTTATTTAATGGTTTTACACAGCTTCAAAGACATGAACATTAATTGTATATATAGTAATTAAATTGATAAAATAAAATGGCATAAGAACAAAACTAAAATAAGGTGTGCAAACTCGGTTTCTTTTGACTGCTTAGTTTACTGTGCTCCGTCCTCAGCATTCTTACATTGTAGCCACCCATGGACAGAAATAGAAACGACCGTTGGAGAAGTGTCTCTGTAATACTGATACTGATCTATCATTTCAAAATTTTCCCTGACACTAAATTGACCCCGGGCGATGAGGGCACGTTGCTCTTGATATATCCACCAGTCCTGTTGGGTTGGGGGGGGGGGGGGGGAAGCTTGTGTGTGTGTGGGGGGGGGGGGCGGGTAAGGTGTGTATATCTTTTTACCATTCAGATTGTTCCCTTTTAAAATCTGGGAAACAAGTTAATATATTTTTTTCAACCATTAATTTTTATTTAATTACAAAAATTAATCAGTACAGTCGTCTAAATTATTTTCTGTAAATTATGATTAGTTTATACTGTCTTTTTTAAATTCAAATTTAATTTAAGAGAGCATAATGAGCTTTCCTTTCTTTTCATAATTTTTTTATCAAAAGAAAGAAAAAATTTGAATAGAAATAATAGTCCACAATGTAATAAGCTAAGTTATAATTACTTAACGCTGGTTTAAGACAGTAGTACACTTTTATTATATTGTACAATAATCAATCATGCAATGCTGAAATTTTTTTTCCCAATGTCAGGTTTATACTTTTTCTCTGATGATCAGATTCTTCCAGGCATCTCTTCGGGGTGGGGGAGAGTCTACCGCCCACCCCCCCCCCCCCCCCCGAACGAAATGGAATGTATATAGAAAATATATATTTAACCGTGTCCGCTCCCCCCCCCCCCCAAAGTCTACAGCCCCCCCCCCCCCCCCCCGCGGAAAATTTCAAGAGCCCCCCCCCTGAGAAAAAAAGTCTGGAAGAAACACTGCTGATGAGGGTCCTCTATGAGGACTGAAGAGGCTGTATTACTGTACTGAAGGCTTTTTCCAGTAGTAGATGCACCACACAAGGTAGGAAAATCTTCTTTACTTTTGACATGTGGTGCCTCTTTTTTCTTACGAGATGAAGGGAAATTAGGTGTATTTACTGAAGAATGCGTGTCTTTGTGCAGGAGGAACATATTTAGCAGGAGCTTTAGGCGTTGTTTATTCCCTATCTGGCTCATGATGGTGGATTTGTACTTGGACTGATACTGTTGTTGTTGTTGAAAGCGTGTTTGATTTAATCCATGGCCCAGATGCTCCATCTCGCCTTGTTATCTCTATCATCATCATCAGGATGTCGATATAATCTGCTGCTTCAATATCATTCTGTTCTTTCGTTATCTGCAGATTTTGAATACGAAGACCTGCGTAGTCTTTTTTTCTTTTTTCTTCCTCAAAATCTTTCCATTCCTCATCCTCCTGTTGATTTGTCAAAATATTTAATGTTCCTCTAGTTGAGTGCATCTTGTCCTTGTCTTTCGTTTTTTTTTTCTTTAATCTTTGTACTTGTAGATTTCATGGGTGTATTAGTGCTTGCTTACACATCACCACTGCCAGATTTTGGTTTAGATTTCTCTTTACTCTTGTCTTTTTTTGGCAAAAAGTCGCCCAGACTTGAATCTGCTATTGCTTCTAAAAGATGAAGATCCTAGATCCAGGTCTTTATAGGTATATACGATTTTAAAATGTATTCATCGCAATAAATAAAGGCAGAAGTATATTCAAGTTATCAGAAAATATTCTTCCCATGCGCATTATTGACAAATTTGCAAGATAATTTATTTATTTTTTTTTTTTTTTGTTTGAGCGGCAACAGAAAACTTTTTTTTTAATTTACAGAATGGTAAAAAAAAATTCTTGAAAGACAAACTATAGGAAACAACGTAAATACTAACAGAATAATTTCAAATGTTTTCAACTTGACAGGAAAACTTGCTCTGTTCGATGACCTCTCGATGACCCCTGGTCGATGACCTCTCGCCAGTGACAGAATGACAATGTTACACTTTTTGACCTGGTCACTTGCTATCATTTGTTCAACTGGTGGGTCCTATGTTTTCACATACTAACATAATACGTTATATAACACTCATATGTCTATTGACATAATTTTTTCTTGGAATAAATTAACATTACAAAAGGAATATTAATTGAATAGTAAAACGTATTCCCCTTCTAATCTTTTAGTGTTTGGCCAGTTTACGTGTGTGTTATGTAACCAACTGGACACACCAGAGGGAATCAGAAGTGGCCAAGTTTGACTTCAAGGACATTGACCCTTCAATATGCACCCACCTTATCTACGCCTTTGGTGTTCTGGATACCAGTTCCAGGACGTTAAGGTCACGGTGGCCGGAGACAGAGGAGTCCCCAGGTGGACGATACAGGTAGTGTGTTGGTGGTTATGTATATAGATGGGTGGGGTAGTGTGTTGGTAGTTATGTATATAGATGGGTGGGGTAGTGTGCTGGTAGTTATGTATATAGATGGGTGGGGTAGTGTGTTGGTGGTTATGTATATATATGGGTGGGGTAGTGTGTTGGTGGTTATGTATATATATATGGGTGGGGTAGTGTGTTGGTGGTTATGTATATAGATGGGTGGGGTAGTGTGTTGGTGGTTATGTATATAGATGGGTGGGGTAGTGTGTTGGTGGTTATGTATATAGATGGGTGGGGTAGTGTGTTGGTAGTTATGTATATAGATGGGTGGGGTAGTGTGTTGGTAGTTATGTATATAGATGGGTGGGGTAGTGTGTTGGTAGTTATGTATATAGATGGGTGGGGTAGTGTGTAGGTATTTATAAGTACAGGTGTGTGGGGTAGTGAGTTGGTAGTTATGTATATATATGGGTGGGGTAGTGTGTTGGTAGTTATGTATATAGATGGGTGGGGTAGTGTGTTGGTAGTTATGTATATAGATGGTTGGGGTAGTGTGTTGATAGTTATGTATATAGATGGGTGGGGTAGTGTGTTGGTATTAAATTTACTAAGTCATAACACTATACGGAGTACAATGACAATACAGTAGAACTTTCCATACTTAAATAATTATAATTTTTGCATGTCCGATGTGTTTTTGTTTTAGAGTAATGTAAGCAATAAATCTAAATATGCACATTTTTTTTAAACATTTTAATACAATGCAGTACATATATTTTTATCTTGCAGTAATTATTAATTATCTTTATTTCTACCGTTTTACTTTTAAATACCTTTTTTAATCAATTGTGTTTATATTTTTAATGGTTTGTCTACCCTGATATTATTTTTTTACGTAATTATCACAAAGTAATAAACAATAAAAATATTTAAAAATACTACTCATTGCTGCTTAACTTGGCATTTACTGTTACTAAAGATATTTAAACTTAATCCCAAAAATAACATTTCAAGCCTTTACACTTTTGTTATTTAACCTCTTTAGATCTAAAATCTTCCAAACGTATGTATACTGCGATGCTAGTGTTGGAATCATATAAATATTCTTTCTTTTGTTTTTGTTTTTATAGGCTCGAGAAAACTTAATTTAGTTTGATTGGAAACACGATTAAATCAATCATATTTTTTTTTAAATTGAAAGCTTGTTCAATACTGCAATCGACAATTTCTCATTTTAGTCACATTTCTATCTAAACACTAAATTAAAGCTTTCAAATTGATATCTTAAAAAAAACGACACTAAAAAAAATTATTGTTGTGGCCACAAGCTTATTAGATATGACTGAAACATTATTTTAAAGTGTGCTTAATACGTCTAGCAACCCTGAGCGTGTGAGTATTTTTTTTTAAATCTATTGTTTTGTTAACACATGTAAACATAATTAGGAGCGTGTAGGCCTATTTATGCACTAAATGAAATATTTTAAAGCCTCGCGCTGTGTATCGCAGCTTAATTCAGCATGTTATATGTTTTTGCTTGCGTGTTTAATTTTCATTCTAAGGAAGAAACGTACATCAATGGCGTAGCCTGGAATTGGTCATGGGAGGAGTTAAAATATTTTTCCATATGTATAAAATCGTATATATATATATATATATATATATATATATATATGGGTCTGAGTCCATGGGAGGGATTATAACCCCCCTAACCCCCCCCCCCCCCCCACTCCCTTGCCTACGCCACTTGACGTACACCAAATAAATACACTCAATATGAATATTTGTAGGTAGTAGTTACGTACTCTTTCGAACCTGATGGCCTACTTGGAAGGCGCAGATTTCACCTGTTTTAGTGACCTCGGCATATGAGGAGATAGAGTGGTCAGCACTGCACCCGGCTGCAGCGCAAGGCAGACGTTGGTGCCACTGCATAGGTTAAATGTTTCCCACTGAGGTGTTTGTAGTTGGCGGATTCGACTGGTCAAGTGGTTCGCACTATGTGATGTACACAATTTAACCTTGACCTTCAGTCGACAGCTGGGTCTGGTCAAACAACAGCAGGATGTAATGGGCCGGCCCTCATTGACGTCACTATGTCTGACGTCACGGCGGGGTTTATTAAATGTAACAAAACATAAACGTCTTGCAATAAAGGCATTACAGAATTTTTATTTAAGAGTACATTTTTCAATTAAGAGTGACATTTTAAATTGTTGTTTCTTTAGTCTGAATATTTTATTTTAGTTATCATATAATCTGAATGTGTCAAGTGAGAAGTTGGTAAATGTTGCAGACCCGACTATAATTTTGCAGTCCGGATGCCTAGTCGCAGGCCGCATACGTTGCTGACACTGGCTCGGGCACTAGCTAATAAGGTCGTCGTCTGTCTAGGGGTATCTTATAATTCTACCCGAGTCAGCTACAGTAGCATATACAACGGGACAGGAGACCTTCTTAGTTTGTGCTGTTTATTAATTCAATAAATTCTTGCTCGCTGAGCGAGGCTTCCCCTAACCGCTAATGTCTGGAGCGCTTGTACGAGAGAGAGAGAGAGAGAGAGAGAGAGAGAGAGAGAGAGAGAGAGAATAACTAACCTGCCTGTATTTATACCACTGTTCTAACCCCCTAGCTATTCCCACGGGACAATACGCTCAAAACTTGTGACCCAAGAAATTACCCCCCTGGCGCTAAAACCCTGGCTACTGGTCAGTATAAAGGCTACTATTGTTCTGTCAGAGCGGTCAGTCTCTGCTGCCCATCCCAACTGTGTACAGATTAGTTGGCTTGTTTTAGTCATACATGAGTTTGTAGATAATGCTTTGGAATACCATACACCTATTTGACAAAAGCTAATACTGATGTATGCATATACATATATAAAATAAGAATATTGTATATGTGTGTGTGTCTCCTGTTATAGCTAGGGTCAGATTTCGACTCATTTGACATAGTGTTTGAAGTAAGATTAATTATTCAAACATATATATTTATTCGTATAATTATTTTCGCGGTGTGTTTAAAACAACATGTAACGCATATACCTTTCTAGGCGCTGGACATGTTCTTCATTGTTACAGTTATATGCTCATCCTTTAAATCCTGCCTTCAGTAAGCGCAGGGTGGGAAATCAAGTCAAAATTAGTGACACTACCAACGACCAAGCCTATAAAAAAAAACACTTTTAACAAGATCAAGTTTAGTAATGGAGTACGTCGCGATTCGGTTTCACACAAGTACATACACACACCCATAAACTGATGACGTCATTTACCCCACTTTAAAACCAACAAAAAGACGGTGGGGAAGACCCCAACAGGATATTAACTCTTAAATCCGCAATGTGTTGTGGTTGGAAAGCATATCTCGTTTCGCATCAACAGTTTTAAAAAGTAACAGAGGCTAAGGCAGTACTGTTCTCTACTGTTAGCGTTTTGTAAGAACGTTGTTTACTTCATAGGGTGGATATTGTGTGTTGAGCACGGTTTATTTTATTTAACTGTTCAATCGTATTCAAATTCCAGTAGATAAAAATAGAAGAAAAAAAATAAACATACGCTATTTAACAGGAACTGGTCCTTTATTGGATACTGTTACCTGACCTAATTTCTCTTTTGGACATAATTAGCTTTATAGCTATTGAATTATAGTTAACTTTTATTAATTTAAAAAAAAATACCATACTAGAAAGGAACTAGTATTCCAAGTATAAAGTACAGAAAAGACTCTCAAAGATGAACCAGAGTTCCGGAATGAACGAGAGCTTAAGGTATCGTTACCTGGACGAGCTGCAGAATAAGACAAATCTAACCCTCATACCTGTGTTCATCTACCTGTTTTTGTTGCTGTTCCTAGGTCTACTAGGGAACTCTCTGATTTTGGTCGTCTATCTGAAGAAGCAGAGAAAAACAGCGACGATTATTTTGATATTGTCTATCGCTTTGTTGGATCTTATAACGAATATTGTTATCATCCCAGGTAAGTGTTAGGTGTATATGCATTGTACAGTTGATTCATGTTTCAGTTTAAGTAATAATGAAAGCCCAAGTAACTTTATAGTTAATTATCAAAAGACTAGGCTAACTATAATAGTAGTTATTATTATTTTTATTATTTTTGTTGCTATTATCATTATTATTTTTTAATAATAATAATTATATTAATTTAAAGTACATTCGGTGTTGTGTTGAACCCTAACTTGGATAAAATTAAATTTTCCAATTATTCTAAAGTAAAGACTATTTAGTGTAGTTAGATAGTAATCACGAATATCTTTGTTAAAATAAAGATATCTCTGTACCCGAGTCTGAATGAGGTTTAGAAAAAGTAAACATAGCATATTTCAAGAAATGTCTATTCATTACAAAGCTTGCCTAGAATTATTTTCCATAAGTAATGTGTTGACACCATCTGCTAAATTAACAAAGAGCGTGTTGGGGGTCGGAGTAGTCGAATGGTGGAGCATGCGACTGCTAACCCGTTCGAATCCAGGTTCAACTACGTAGTACAACGTCCCTGAGTCCACCCAGGTCTGATGGGTACCCAACTCATGTTAGGGAAAGTAAAGGCGGCTTGGCATAGTTCTGACCAAACTATCCCTTCTTATACCGAGGTTACAGAAACAGCTCAACTCTACTTCACTTGCCACTTGGACCGTCAGGTTGGAAAGGGAACTTGACTTACTTTACTAAAGAGCGAGTTTTTGACCACTTTTTGAGTTGGCACGCGAATAAAGAGAATACATGATATCATATTCTTTTTGGAGTAGTTCACTAAAACACATAATATTAGTAATAGGCCTACTGTTTGTATTTTTTCCTTATTATAAACTTTAAAGAATAGCCTTCATTTCCTTAGTTCTGGGACAGGGACTTTTATTTGTTTTACATTTAAAATTAAAACAGAAATTTTTCAACAAAGAAACATAAAAACACATTAATTCAACACACTCATTATGAAGATACTGAGTCACAATGGAAGGCAAAGTTCAACAAGCGATCTTTAATTGTTCGACAAAATTTTCTTCTACAACAAACTAATTATTTATTTCGCACATTAAAAATTAACATTTCAAGACAGAAAAACCTTAGTGCTTCCTTAATTTCTATATTGTTTAAAGTTTAGTATATTGTTAAGCATAGGGTGAGACGGCGTAGCTGTATATTATTAATCATTGAGCCTACTCAGCTCTAATGAGTACCGAACTCGATTTTGAGAAACCAATGTCGACCACACTAAAGTAAATTGAAGTATAAAGGAGTAAATAGTGTTTATATAATTAGTTTAGGAGAAATACTAAAAAACTAGGTACGTCAGAGTTAGCTGTACCATAATTTCTAATGATTTTTTCTGTAATATGATGAATCTGCAAATCATTAAAAACATATTGTATTTATTGTTTTAACCCACTTCTACGCCCAAAGGGTTTGACCACTAGTATGAGTTTCTCAACAGCTTGACCATTGGATAAATAATTATCCTATTAAGAAAAGAGAAAAAATTAATATCTTATTTGATATTGCATTAATGGGGCGGTGTGGTCTAGCGGTAGAGCGCTAGAGTGCTAAACCGATAGTTTCAAGTTCTAATCCGGGTTCTAGTCAGTAGGATGTTCCTGAGTCCACCCAGCTCCGATGGGTATCTAACTCACGTTACGGAAAGTAAAGACGGCTGGGCATAGTGCTGACAACACAATCCCTACATATGCCGAGGTAATCTACAACAGATAAACTCTACTTCATCTACCCCATTTGTCATGGACAAGAACGGGAAAAGATTAAAATGATGATACTGCATTAAGCGGCTAACGATGTTACTAAAGACGGTTCTTAATCAATTCTAATTTATAATTAGTACAGGCAAGTTACACCACAATCAAACGGCATTTCTTAACTAATCTACAAGGTTCATAACTTAAGTAATGTCTAAGAGTTATCGCTCCTTCACCTGTGATTATCTCTCTGTGTTCAGTAAAATATAAGACTAACACGGACACCATTAATGCAGTTTCCTAGTTTACACAATTATGTTATTTAACCACGTGGTTTCTCGTGTCCACAGCGACGCTGTACGACTTCTTCCACACGTGGAACTACCATCACGCCCCCTTGTGCAAGTCGTACCTCTACCTCAACAACTTCATGGCGTCAGCATCGGCCATCTTGTTACTGGCGGTCGCCGTGGTCAGGTAGGTCAAGATCCTTAAATAACCATCAGCAATGTTGTATTAATACAAGTGAGCGATTGTCCTGATATACATACAATTTCACATCTCAATGCTATCCCTATACTAGTATTTAGATCTTTAAATTAATATCTGCAGCTCTGCTTTAATACACGTGTGTAACTGTACTTGTTTACAAAGGTTCTCACGTTACTAATGGCACCATTATCCCATATATAAGTGTTTAAATTTAAATTACTATCTGCAATGTTGTTTCAATACGAGTATGGAGTTGTACTAATGTATAAAGAGATTTTCACATTTCTATAGGCAATACTATCCCCATACAAGTATTTAGATCTTTAAATTACTATCAGCAATGTTGTCTAGAGTGTGCAATTGTACTTGTATATAAAGATTTTCCCATTCAAAGCGGCAATACAATGCACACACAAGTGCGTAGATCTTTGAGTTACTATCAGCAATGTTGTCTTAATACAATATGTTCAGAGATTTTCACATTTCTATCGTCTATGATATCACCAAAAAGGTGTTTAATTTTACGCACATATTATCAGCAATGCTGTCTTCAGAAGAGAAATGGATTTTCCTTGTTTGCACAGATGTTTAAATTATAAGAGTGCGTTAGGTCTTTTTGTAAACTGTGTTTAAAATCATCCGCCTGATAGAAAGCACCTAGAATAATATTTAGGCTAGATGGTTTCGATACATCTCGTTCAGTTATGTAAGCATCGGGTCAGGAGTACAATAATATGGCTTAGCCTCGGGAAAAAAATCGTTTTACTTTTTAGCAATTTTTTATTATTTGTGTGTAAGTTAAGGTACTTAGGTGAAGATTGGTGCATGCATCAGGGACTCTGTTGAACATATCGTTGCCATGAAAACGGCAGACTTCTTAAAAAACATTAAGTGGAAGTGCCAAGATTGAAAAGATATCCTTTATTTTGAAAATAAATCATTGATTATTCTTAATAGAGTCCCCTAGCTTTTGTAATTAAAAAAAAATTTCAAAATTGTGTATACTGAAATACTATTATATTAACCAATTTAAATGAAACGGTTTTTCATCAGAGTATATTTTGAAAATTCGAAAGTTATATTTTTAGAGTGTTTATGATGAATAAGTGTTTTTTTTCCCCGTTACACATGTCTTATATAGGCCTACCTCTCACAAAATTTTAAAAATAATCAAATTTTATGTTTTTCTACAGATATAGAAAGATCTGCAACCCTTTCAAAAAACAAGTGACAGCTAAACAGGCCAAAATCATAAGCGCTGCCATTATCCTGATATCCCTAGTGTGGAGTATCCCATACGGGATAACCCATGGTCGCCAGACGAAGACAACTCCGAATAAAAACATCACCAGCTTCCATTGCAGCATAGACGACGATTTTGTAGGCACCATTTGGCCGGAAGTTGTCAATGGGTTCGCCATTGTGGTATTTTTAGCCTGCGGGATTCCCCTGTCGGCGATGTATGTTTTTATCGGGATTCAAGCGTGGAAGCACAGCCAAATTTACGGCATGCGCACATCTTCAAGAAGGAGGCACGCGGCACAAGCAAAGATAAAAAACAACGTCGTTGAACCTGGATTGAAGAACGAAGATAAAACCGAAGAAAAGAGTACCTCGACCGACGAAGACGAAGAAGAAGAAACCGAGGAAACAAAAGAACAAAACCGAACCCAAGAAACAATCGATTTATCGCTGACGAAAGAAAACAAAAACGAAACTAGCTCCGTATCGGGAATCACCGCTACGCAGTCTAAAACCGGAAATGCAGTAACTGACCTACCCACGAATCGTAACAGGCGACACGTCAACGGAAAAACGACGCTGATGTTGTTCGCTATAAGCGCGGTGTACGTCGTGACTAACTTAACGACGCTGTGTCTTGTTCTAGTCCGAGCGGTCAAAACTGATTATATAAACAGCCTGGGCATGGTGGCTGATTCCTTCTATAAACTCTTCATGCTGAGTTACTTACTGAACTGTGCTGTCAATCCCATCATATACAGCATGTGTGACAAGCACTTCAGACAGCAGTGCTTGTATATACTGTCTTATCTTAGATGTTGTTAATATAGTAGGCTACTTGCGTATATATATATATATATATATATATATATATATATATATATATATATATATATATATATATATATATATATATATATATATATGTTGAAAATGATGTAGCTACACCATGGACTACATACGCCCCCTCCCAGTAGCGGAGCGAGGGAGCGCGGGGTGGGGGGACATATGTCCCCGGGCGCCGACCTTAGGGGGCGCCTAAATGGGTTGGAAAAATAAATTTAAAGGTTGAGGGGGGGTGCAAATCGAAAGTTTGAGGGGTGGGGTGCAAATCTAAATCTTGAGGGGGGTGCAAATCGAAAAGTTTGTCCCCGGGCGTCGGGAAGGGTCGCTACGCCTCTGCCCCCTCCCCCACATACACCACCTAGTTACGCCAAAGTTGCTTTGAAAAAAATAATTCTTCAATATATGTATATATATAATTATGTTGAAAAGGATGAAGCTACGCCATGTGCCACATGCCCCCCCCCCCCCCCCACTACACACACTCTACTTACTTACGCCAAAGTTCAAGTACATACACAATACTAAACAATTTTTGTTGAAGTGTTTTTAAAAAGAATTTCGTAAACATACATTTTTAAGATTTTATCATCGCTGATGTTTCGGTTTCAAATGTTGATAACAATGTTGATACAATGAGTGATTCGATCAATTTGTGTGATTAACTAATAGCAGGTGAAGAGGGTTATATAAAGAATTTTGAGTGTTCAATATGGGAAAATAAAAAGTAGAGAAATCTTAGAACCTAATTTACATGTTATAACAAAAACAGAAACTCTCTATATTATAGAAACTAGAGATTTGAAGATAAAACAAAGGTTAACAAAAGATAAATATCATTAAATTGTGTTTACTAATTTATCTGTTGTGCAATAACGTTTATTTGTGTTATTGTTTGCAAAAGAAATTAAACAATGTAAAAAATTACACCCATCTTGCTTAGCTTTTCTTTTTAAAAAATTTAAACTGTGTTGTGAACAATGTTTAGATGTCAATCATAACAATACTATGTAATATAATATTGAATGTCTCTTTCTAAATTTATCTACTGCCGCAATACATCAAAATATGTGTAAGTAAACTACAAATATCGTGTGCAACAGACACTAATCAACAATCATTTTAAGCAAATAAATTTCCTAACATAATTTGCCCACAAACAAACACGAATTAACACATTACTAAAATAACTTCTGAACCATATGAACAAACAAAAACAAGTTTTTCGTTTTATCAACAGAAACATTCACCATAGCAATTGTAGAAACGGTCTATCAACTTCACATATATAAGCTAAAGTTAAATGTTAGTCAAAACAATGTGTGAGTGTAAACTGTCCTTGACACTACACATGGGTGACTCATTAAAAAAAATTGAAATGTATACAGGCTAAAATACAGTTAAGGGATGCTTTTGGCTTATGGTTATTCTTTAGTTAATGCTTGATTTGTAATATATGATCTGTCATTATCACATTCTGAATATGTTTACCTTGAGAGCAAGAAACAACCTTACAAGACAATTAGTCTTATCAATTAATCTCGCCTAACACTCCCCACCCCCACCATCACGGCCGCCCACTAACCCGATCATAACATTAAACCTAACATAATAAGTTAATGCTAGGGTTAGGTTTTAAGTTAGCATTCTACAAAATTTTATACGATGGTTCTGTTGCCGACCGGACTACGATGTTGCCGTCCGGTTGCTTAGTCGCCGGCCGAATACGTTGCTGACACTGGCTCGGGCACTAGCCAATAAGGCCGTCGTTGTCTAGGGGTATTTAATTATTCTACCCGAGTCAGCTACAGTAAAATAATCAACGGGACAGGAGACCTTCTTAGTTTGTGCTGTTTATTAATTCGCTGAATGCCTGTTCTGCTGAGCGAGGCTTCCCCTAACCGCTAACGTCGGGAGCGCTTGAGCGAGAGAGATAGAGAGAGAGAGAGAGAGAGAGAGAGAGAGAGAGAGAGAGAGAGAGAGAGAGAGACTAACTAACATGCCTGTATTTATACCCCTGTCTTAACCCCCTAGCTATTCCCACGGGACAATGGGCTCAAAACTTGTGACCCAACAAATTACCCCCATGGCGCTAACAGCCCTGGCTACTGGTCAGTATAATGGCTACTATTGTCCTTTCAGAGCGGTCTCTTTGAACGCGTCACCTACTGTCCGTCCCTACTATGTACCCTGTAATGATCTAGTGAATGGATGTTTGTGGAATTCTGACCTAACAGGTTCGAATTACAAAAAAAAAATATTTTAAAAAATTGCGACAGGTGAACCTAGTGTTGGCTTCTTCTTTACCTACAAATGTAGCCTACGTGAGTTTAGGAAATGTTGGGGAATTTTATTCGGTTATTCCTTTCTTTGTTTACAATTTTAAATCTGCACCTTAGAGTTAGGGTGTGAGGAAATATGTAATTGTTTCGCATAATGTAGCCTATATGAGGTTAGGAAATGGTGGGAAATTTGATTCGGTTATTCCTTTCTTTGTTTACAATTGTAAATATACACCTTTGAGTAAGGATGTTAAGAAATATTTGTTTAATTAAGCATAATGCAGCCGAGAAGTTGCGAAATAAAAGATGAATCTATCAACACACGTTTGCGGATATTATATACACGTATCTCTCATACCACGGATGTTTGTTGTTTCTATAAGCAGGCACAGAAGTTTATTTTTAACTGTTGGTTTATTTTAAGATTTCGCAATGTCGCTAGTAGGCAGGTGTTTATAGTTTGTGAGGTTGCACCCGTAGGATTTTTGTTCCAAAATAATTTTGCCCAGCACCTGTCGAGTTCGTGAAGCGTGTCAGTCTGTGTATTGTTGTTTAAGGTCATGTAGTGTGTAAGCTTGTGGGTTGTTACACACCATGATGTAGTATGTGTGTTGTCCTGAAATATAGGGTTGTGTGTGTATCTGTTATTCCTCACGATTATGTAATGCGTAAGTATGTGTTGTCCAAAAATATAGCACCCTTGTGTGTGTTTGTTGTTACACGATTATGTAGTGTGTATAAGTGTATGTATGTGTTGTTCCAAAGTTTATAGTAGTGTGTAAGTATGTGATGTGATCATGTATTTATATGTGCGTATGTATGTGCTGCTCAATAATATTAAGTAGTGTGTAAGAATGTGATTTTCAAGTTAAAAAAACAATGTATTATGTTCAAATGTGTGTTCTTGCACACGATTATGGAGTATGTCGCAGAACGCATCTATTTTAAAGGCTGGGAAACAATGTGTAGTTTCATAAGATTTCATTGAGTGTGTAGGTTACTGTATTCTTAAATATTAGTTGAGATGAACTGACACAGTGGCGTAGCAAGGTCGGGTGTCACCCGGTGCGGCACTTAATGGAGTCACCCGGTGCGGCACTTAATGGTGTCACCCGCCAGACGCGTAGCGACCCTTCCCAGGGACAAACTTTCAATTTTCGATTTGCATCCTCCCTCAAACTTTCGTTTTTGCTATTTTTTGCCTTGGTGTCACCCCCCCCCCCCTTAAATGGATTCACCCGGTGCGGTCCGCCCCCCCCGCCCCCCCCCCCCCCTTCTCTACGCCACTGAACTGACATAGTAAACTTGTAAAGCTTCCTGTTTTAGATTAGACGTGTGATAGTTGTGGGAAGGGGGGGGGGAGGTGGAAAGGGTTAGAAATAAAGAATTAAGCTGTTTATTTTTTTGTGTCACCTTATTTGCTTGCTACTAGACATTCACTTTTCAAACTTGCAACCTATAATATAATACACTCAGTGGCGTAGCTACCGTAAAGCTAGCGTAAGCAAGGCATAGGGGCCCAAGGCAAATAGGGGCTCTTTTTCGAAAGTTTGAAGGGGGGGGGGGCAAATCGAAAGTCTGAGGGGAGGGGGGTGCAAATCGAAAGTTCGATGGCGGGGGGGGGGTGCAAATCGAAAGTTTGTCCCCGGTCGCCGGGAAGGGTCGCTACGCCTCTAAGGGGCCCACTAACACTTTAGCATAGGGGCCCAAAAATCCTAGCTACGCCACTGAATACACTTTTAATACTCGCAGCTTATAAACTTTGATGCATGAACCTGCTGCTAAATACATGGCACCAGTGTGATTGGATGTGTAAAGATCATGGTTGCTAAACCAACTAGTCCCTACTTAGAACTCGTGGGCAAATGTGGCTCAATATCTAGGTACAGAATCTCAAGTAGGAGAGCAAACTCCAAAATAAAATAAAGCTGGAGTGATCACCCCTAATCTTTCTCGAATATTCTAACATAATACTACGTGGGATGGCAACTCGGAATATAGACATGATTTTTGTTTACTTAAACTTTTAAAAAAAGAATAGAATCTAGTAGAAAAATGAATTGCGCACCAAGCGAACGCCAAAACAAAATGTGCATAATAGTGTGCAATATTATTTGTACTTTATAAATTTACATGCGTTTTTTTGAGAAATTGGAAATAGCGTAAATTAGTACTTCCGGTAAACGGAAATTACTCAAACTTTGATTGAAGGTAGAGAATTAAATATTTTACTTACATGTTAAATTTCATTTATCTATCTAAAAAAGTACTTAAGTTATAGGCTTTTGAAAAATTCAAAGTAGAAAAAGTACCACTTCCGGTTATCGGAAATCGCTCAAAAGTAGATATGTATCTACGATTTTGATAAAATACTTATATATAAAATTTCATCAGCCTAGTTGTAACGGTACTCAAGTTATCGTGTTTACACAGAGACAGACAGACACATACACACATACACAAACAGACAAACGGACAAGATTGCAAAATTATGTTTTTCCGTATCAGTGAGGTGTAAAACGTCGAGATTTATAAAAAATCTCGATTTTTTTTTGCACGATTACAAGACTTTCTCTATGCTTCGTATATACGAGAAAGTAAAAACAACTACTGCCTCATAGTTTAGAAGCAAATCCCAAAAAGACAAGTAATCTGTTTTGGAGTTAACGGGACGTATGATGCAGAATGGATTTACACATAAAACTTAATTGTATTGAAGGAAATCCCGCACATCATTACAATTACGAAGAATAACATGCTC